CAACTTTCCCTCGTTGGCGACAACCCTCTAAAACCGGCGCGAGAAAGCGTTCCCTGGGTACCCCTGCGAATCTAGAGAGATAACCAATTTTAGGAATCTTTCGACGACGACGATGATATGCCAAGACCGTCATCATCATCATCATCTTTATTATTTATACAAGGTAAATAAATCAGGCAAGAAATAATACTACTAATACTAAAATCACTATGATATTGACCATCTATTACTTAAGATATAATTACATATTAGAGTGATTTTATTAAACGGTGTAGAAGAAACTGAAACGTTCAACATCAGTCGAAAGTTAGCCAGAGATTTTGCTTTCCTAATAGAAGAGGGCAGACTGTTCTAGAGAACAGCACCGCTATAGTACTTAACCGTATCTTAAAGCGATAGCGTACGATTGCCTTTTTTGGTAGGAAAGGGCGGTGTGACAAGATAAAAGAAGAGGCTATCAATCCCAGCTCTCCTTGTTTGTTTGTTTGTTTGTTTTTTTTACAAGAACAAGAACAAAAATATTTCTGTGGTCTCTCTCTTGAACCAGTTCATCAATTTTTGCCCAAATCTTTGATCTGAAAAGGGCATTTAAAATACAGCAAAATATGTCTCGGATGAAAGAATCATTGTCCTCTGCTGGAGACATTTTTCGATGCTTTTATTTACTTTTTTTGTTTACTCTTTCTTTATGAAAGGCAACAATTTAAGGACCTCTTTCATCATTTCATTTTTCACTTCACGGTTTCGGTTTCGGATTTTGGATCGCCCTTGCGCAAACAATCTCACGGAGCACGGCTTTGGAGTAAAAAACTGATGATATGAACCTACGTTATTTTCGGGAACGGTTTAAAATGGTTAGAAGCAGCTTCTGGTCAAAAAGGGGTAACTAGACTCAACGTTCCAACTTGGAAGTGTTAAGACCTAAGACCCGAAAACTAAGACCCGAAAACGAAGACCCCCTCCCCCCCCTCCCCCTTTTTTTCCCTTTTTTTTCTTTTTACAAAATTGACATAAAGTTTACTCTATATTTACGTCCACTATCTAGCGGTTCTGGACTGCCTTATTGTTATGAAGGATTAATTGAGAAGTCTGAAGAAATTGTCTTAATGCAACAAAGATCGACAGGTCGTTGCATCTCTTTGAGCGCGCGAAGTTAGTTTACAAGGCGGCCCTGAGAGATGAGAGGCGCCAGCTTAGGATGTCTCTCCAAAACGTCAAAATGACCGTTATTCTTCCATATCGTAAACATTGAAATAAAATGCTCCAGGGATGTCATTAGAGTGAAAAGATGACTGAAAAGAGATCACAAGAAAGTGTGCACGCGGAGGGGCCGCGTGTACAGTTTACGTTTGGCGACACCTTGCATGCGTTTTACCCTCACCTCATCCTCGGAGACCCAGGGGCAGTCAGTCGGGTCGGGAGAAAAGGCAGGACGAAAGTTTTCAAGTATGGGCGAAAGAGCCCCTGGGTACCGACTCTCATCGAACTATTTCCAAAAATTCAAGCGGATGCCGGCTCCTGATTGGGCACAAAAAATGCTTTGTATTATTGTGCCCAATCGGCGAACAGCTTCTCCTGGGTTCTTTTCATGAGTTTGTACACGACGCCTATTGTCTTGCCACACTTGCCCGGTTCGTTCACCAAGCTTGCGCGTGCAACGGAAACTTTTATTTTCTACTTTCCTAACCAGAAACGAAGGAACTACCGATGAGTCGAAAAAACGTTTGAGATGATATCAGCAGGAGCAATTCAATTTGCCCCGAGAATATTCTGTTTTTGACTCATCACAAAATATCGAAAATAATAGGAAGTTTACGATGCGGCGGCGACGAGAAATAGAGAATACTTCACGGAAAGTGCCGGCGTACGGTATTTACGCACGAGTTGTTGACGTATCAGAAATCGAACGAGTGAGCGCAGCGAACGAGTAAGATTTCTGATACAAAAACAACGAGTGCGTAAATACCGTACAAAGCACTTTCCATGTGGTATTGTGTCTATTATATACATACTGAGACATTCATCATTTTGGGGGCCTTTTTATTTTCAGTCTTTCAAAAATGCTAAAGTTTACCGCTACACACTTACCGCAAAATGACAACGAAAACGAGGTATCAGCTTTTTAGTAAAAACGTTTGTTAAAAACATAAATGACGGTAAGGATATGAGGTAATCCAAGAACTATAAGTAATCTTAACTGTTTGTTCTTAATGCACCATTGAAAATGAGTGAATTTAAGTAAAATGGCCGGTTTCAGTATAAGCTTAAGCTTAAATGAAAGGCAAAGTAGCTCCGACAAAAAGCACAAGAAAAGCTTACGTCTCGTTCTGTTTATCCCTTTCCGCTGTTGTTTCGCCGGCTCTCTACCGTTTTCTTTATCGATAGTGAAACAAACGAAACTATTCCACTCCATTTCCGAAATGTTTTTCACTTTTTTGGCGACAAAAACTCCTTGAGTAAAACTTTTCTCGTTGAATGAGTGCGAAGCGGCGCTGCAAGCTGCAATAAAAGGCGGGAATTTTTGCGCGAAACTCACACACCTCTGTGGCTTCTGATTGGACGTATCATTTTTCTCACACGTGAAAAACATCGTTCGCGATTCTGATTGGACGTATCATTTTTTTTTCACGCGTGAAAACCATCGTTCGCTCCTCTGATTGGCTAGAACTAATTTGCGTACGAAAATTTACGACATGGCTTCTTGGTGAGTATTTCTCAGTATGTATATAATAAAGTCAAATAAGCAATAGCTTAACAAGGCAAAAAAACTTTGCACGTGCATCACACTTTTTTGTACATTTCTTTGCCGTCAACTGCACGACTACCCGTGAAAATGCCTAATCAGTCACGTTTTGTGAAGGACGTAAACAAGGAATGACAAAATTCATTCTCTTCATGAACTTGGATATGGTTGATAGAAATTCAGCTCCAGAAGAGTTCGCTTGCATTTGACAAAGTAAGCGAGTTGGAATTATCACGATAGAATTCCCTTTTCCATGCGACGATTTCGTGGATGTCAGTCGTCGTGGTATCTTTTAAAAACTCCCTAATATTTACGCAAAGACGTGACAGATGGAAGCGTGAATACCTGTTGTAAGCTCAAGCTTGCATTTTTGGAAAAGCGTCTTTAGTTTTCGGGCAGACAGTATTTTGAAATCAGATGGGGATTTTGAAAGTTTCCTGACTGCGTGCATTTCTTTGGTGCATGAGCCAGACAAGCCGTGATCGAGACAACAGCCGTCGTGTACGAACTCACGAAAAGAACTCAGGAGAAACTGTTCGCCGATTGGGCACAATAACACAAAGCATTTTTTGTGCCCAATCAGGAGCCGGCATCCGCTTGAATTTTTGGAAATAGCTCGGTGAGAATCGGTAGCCAGGGGCTCTTTCACCCGTACTTGAAAACATTCGTCCCGCCCTTTCTCCCGACCCGACTGACTGCCCCTGGGTCTCCAAGGATGCCCTCACCTCAGTCTGCAGTCTGTATTTTTCGCTTGGTCCACGGTTTGAACAGTCTATATAAAGGAAACCGATTATTTTTGTTGTTTATTTATTTTCGCAAAACCCAACCTAACCGGGAACCCGTGTTTTCCACAGACCCCGTCACCCCGCAATCCGGCCCCGTAATTATCCACTAAAACTCGCGAGATGGTATAACTTGTCCTGATGAATACCGCAGCCAATCGCGTTGCACGTTGTGACAGACGCCTGCCAAATGACCGGCGAAAAGAACATTTTACCAGAGGCTGTAGTGAAGGGTTACCACCAGTGCCTATTTACAATAAGAACGGATGAATCTTTTGTCCTCGATGAATAAATCGACAATTAATAGGTAAGACTTTAAATTACAAATTCGTAGCCAGTCGCTGAAATCATTATTAAAGGATTACAATTGACAATCGATAAAATGGATGAAAATTGATGAAAATTGATAAAAATTGATACTCACAACTCTTTCGATCTTCGATATTTATCGATTACCGATATCAATCGCTTAGTTACTGTCGTTTAAAATCGAATAGAATCCATTATTTCGATTAAAGAGTTTCATCGACTTCGCACGGCGGGTTAAACCCACGCTACTTACGGCAATTATTGCTGTTTTGCTGTTACATTTTGAAACAGGATTACTACATTACTTCCCATCCTCTTACTCTTTAGAGACACTATTCAACTGCATTCATAAAATAGCGAGAATCATTAAACGAAAACACATTCAAAGCGCTTCGTCTCCTAACATTTTTAAATGTGGCGGGCTTTTTAAATTTGAATCCTCTGAGTTCTTCCGAGCTAAATTTAGAGGTGAAAACAGCTAGTAATCGTCGGCATGTCAACAAACACCAGCAAATCGACCATAGTGAAAACATACCCTCCCCCGCAGGCGTTTCTAGGGGAGCTCGTATTTCTTCCCTCCCCGAAGAAATACTAGCCTAACAGCACACGTATTTCCGGTCGTCGTTTCTCTACGAAAAATAAAGAAGCGGCGACCGGAAATACGTCTGCTGTTCGCAGGCAACCCCCTAAAGCGTTTTTAGGGGAGCTCGTATTTCTTTAGCCTGCGAACAGGAGACGTATTTCCGGTCGTCGCTTCTCTCCCTCCGAAAGTTCGTGAAAACACAACCGGTGAGTCAGTTAGTAAGGGTGTAATGGAATACACTGTTTGGTGTTCATTAACCTTAGATATTACCCTACCCTGGATAATAGCTATTTTTAACAGCTGATTTGAAATTTTAAAACAGACGAATTAATTAAAATGAATTAATACGTACAAGAAACTTACCATTGATTTTGAAACTACAATTCGTAGGATATCTCGATTTATCAAACCCCTAAATTCGCGAAACCCCCGATAACTGAAAAAAACTGACTTCCCTTTCCTAGGCAAATAGTGCAATTTTATCTCGTTTTTTTCCGAACATCCAAATAACTACAATATCCTCTGTGCTCACCTTCAACACCATGTACACGTACTCCTTTCTTCCTTAACTTTAAGGCACGTCTTATTGCGTCAACAGATAAAGGATTATGACTCAATTCCAGCTCCCTCAGCTCCCTGAGGTCACTAATCTCAGCAGGTAGTTCAGTTAGTTTATTTACATCCAAGTACAGCACTGCAAGCCTGGTCAGCCTCTGTATACTGGTAGGTAAACCAACCAACTGGTTGTTACTCACACTCAGCTGCCTCAGCTCCCTGAGGTCACTAATCTCAGCAGGTAGATCAGTTAGTTTATTTCCATTCAAGTCCAGCTCTTCAAGCTTGGTCAGCCTCTGTATACTGGTAGGTAAACCAACCAACTGGTTGTTATTCACACTCAGCCACCTCAGCTCCCTGAGGTCACTAATCTCAGCAGGTAGTTCAGTTAGTTTATTTCCACTCAACTGCAGCACTGCAAGCTTGGTCAGCCTCTGTATACTGGTAGGTAAACCAACCAACTGGTTGTTATTCACACTCAGCCCCCTCAGCACCCTGAGGTCACTAATCTCAGCAGGTAGTTTAGTTAGTTTATTTCCACTCAAGTGCAGCACTGCAAGCTTGGTCAGCCTCTGTATACTGGTAGGTAAACCAACCAACTGGTTGTTACTCACACTCAGCTTCGTCAGCTCCCTGAGGTCACTAATCCCAGCAGGTAATTCAGTTAGTTTATTTACATTCAAGTCCAGCTCTTCAAGCTCGGTCAGCCTCTGTATACTGGTAGGTAAACCAACCAACTGATTATTATTCACACTCAGCTCCCTCAGCACACTGAGGTCACTAATCTCAGCAGGTAGTTTAGTTAGTTTATTTCCACTCAAGTGCAGCACTTCAAGCTTGGTCAGCCTCTGTATACTGGTAGGTAAACCAACCAACTGGTTGTTACTCACACTCAGCTTCGTCAGCTCCCTGAGGTCACTAATCCCAGCAGGTAATTCAGTTAGTTTATTTACATTCAAGTCCAGCTCTTCAAGCTCGGTCAGCCTCTGTATACTGGTAGGTAAACCAACCAACTGATTATTATTCACACTCAGCTCCCTCAGCACACTGAGGTCACTAATCTCAGCAGGTAGTTTAGTTAGTTTATTTCCACTCAAGTGCAGCACTTTAAGCTTGGTCAGCCTCTGTATACTGGTAGGTAAACCAACCAACTGGTTGTTACTCACACTCAGCTTCGTCAGCTCCCTGAGGTCACTAATCCCAGCAGGTAATTCAGTTAGTTTATTTACATTCAAGTCCAGCTCTTCAAGCTTGGTCAGCCTCTGTATACTGGTAGGTAAACCAACCAACTGGTTGTTATTCACACTCAGCCCCCTCAGCTCCCTGAGGTAACTAATCTCAGCAGGTAGTTCAGTTAGTTTATTTCCATCCAAGTGCAGCAATTGAAGCTTGGTCATCCTCCATATACTGGTAGGTAAACCAACCAACTGGTTGTTACTCACACTCAGCTTCCTCAGCTCCATGAGGAGACTAATCTCAGCAGGTAATTCAGTTAGTTTATTTCCATCCAAGTGCAGCAATTGAAGCTTGGTCATCCTCCATATACTGGTAGGTAAACCAACCAACTGGTTGTTACTCACACTCAGCTCCCTCAGCTCCCTGAGGTAACTAATCTCAGCAGGTAGTTCAGTTAGTTTATTCCCACTCAAGTGCAGCACTGCAAGCTTAGTCAGTCTCTTTGTACTGGTAGGTAAACCAACCAACTGGTTGTGCCCCACCAACAGCAGCCTCAGCTCCCTGAGGTCACCAATCTCAGCAGGTAGTTCAGTTAGTTTATTTCCATCCAAGTACAGCCATTGAAGCTTGGTCAGCCTCTGTATACTGGTAGGTAAACCAACCAACTGGTTGTTTCTCACCCTCAGCCCCCTCAGCTCCCTGAGGTCACAAATCTCAGCAGGTAGTTTGGTTAGTTTATTTTCATCCAAGTACAGCTCTTCAAGCTTGGTCAGCCTCTGTGTACTGGTAGGTAAACCAACCAACTGATTGTTATTCACACTCAGCCACAACAGCGCCCTGAGGTCACCAATCTCAGCAGGTAGTTCAGTGATTTTGTTGTTATCCAATTTGAGCACAACAAGATTTTTCAGCTTGCTGATACTTGCTGGTAATTTAATCAAGTTATTTTTTTCCAGCACAAGTTTAAATTTCTTTATTTCACTCAGTTCAGTGACTGCATCAGGTACCCTGGATAGTCCTTTCTCTTTCAGATCCAAAACCGCTAATCCAACTTCATATTTTAAGGAAGCTCTCAATTTTGTATTGGAATAATGCTCCATGTTTCAAATTGTTAATAAAAAGTCTCGACAGTTCTTCTTACCATCTAGAAATTACAAATAGTAACCTAGTATAGAAAAATCAAAATCATATCATCAATATTGGTGAATTTTACAGAATTAAAATAAAAGAAATCTTGAACAGATGCTGTTAGTGCATTCAAAAAATCGTTTATTAGTAGACTAGGGTATCTAAAAGATAGTAATGCTGCGGCAAATTCTGTCGATAATGTCATTAGTTAGGCAGTTATCCATCTGCTTGCATGCGAATTAAAAGAATAAAAAATGACAATAAACTTTCCCCATTTCTTGCTGTATAAAGCTCAAGGGTTTCTTTTCTGCTTTTAAGTAGCTACCATTTTCTTCCAAGTGTCTCCTCTTTCTCATTTCAATTCAGTCTAAACTATTGTTGATGACCACCAAAAATGCAAAGATTGAGTCAGGTCATCTTAGGGAGGTGGTCACTTATTGAATCGAACAACAGTGGGTCCCTTCCTAGAAGATTGAGATCCCAACACATCTACATTTTGGAACAGAATTCATTGCGTGCAATTTCTAATCTGCAATATATATGTGTATAGTTTCATGGTGTCACTAAAAGATTTTCACATACTTTGAGTAGTGTACTACATACAACAAACAACAAAAAAATCACTGACCATGATACAAGGCAACAAATGAAGTCATTATTGTGTACTGCTCAGACTGTTTGGAATAAAGGCCTTAAGAAACACTGATTCCCAATTGTGGCTACGTATGGGATGTGTATTATGGGTACGTGAATATGTTTGTGATCAGGTACATGTAATATAATAATTATATTACATCATAAGGTGACAAATGATTTGATTTCTGCAGATCTGGAAATAATCCCAGGAGGGGGTGGTTAATTGATTTTCAGTGGCAGGCAATGGGGATACCTATTTGTCGTATTTATGCTTATTTGAGGGGGAAACACTTATTTGAAGGGGTCGCTTATTTCATTTTTTAGTATTTCAGCCTCGAGATAGCATTTGTCTTTCTTTCACACAGACAAAAAAACTAAGCAATGAAACTACAACATATTTTTCAATAAATACCCAAGTGTGTTATGTTCGTGTCCTTAGCTTGGAACTTACCATTAAAACTATCCTCAAGCACTATAATTATTCAGAGGAGCTGAGTCATTAACATCTGATCCTGTGATGTCCCCAAATAAGTTATTCTCTTGTGACTGTAACTTTTATGCTACCCTTTTGAAAGATAAAAGTCCAGTATACCATGTATTTAGTAAGGCAGGGTGTTAAAGGTGGTCGCTTATATGAAGGGGAGGGCCGGAAGCTTAAACGAACACTATCCTATTACTGCGCATGTACCAAACTTAGATTTTCTGACAGGATGTTGAGAATTCAAAAGATCCACATAGTGTTATAGAACCTTCCAAAATCTTTGCATCATGTTCGATTGAGTTACACCACTAAACCTTCTCAAAACTACAGATCAATGTTCCCATTAACTTTTGATTTTAGTGAAATTGGGAGTTTTTAGCGTTGCTTTCATTTAGATACAACAAAGAAATGGACGAGACATGGATGCCACTGAAAAGATCTTGCAACGACATCTTAGTAAAATTAAAAAAACCTCCTTAACAAATATGACCAACTAAATTAACCAAACAGCTGGCCCTTGATGCATAGAAAAACAAGTGCAATGAAATCATAATAAATTATTATATTTGACTAATCTTTGAGATGCCTTCATCATGCAAAGATTGCATTTTTATTTACAATATTTTTATATTATTTTTATTTATTTTAACATTTGAAGCCTAAAAGGGTGGTACTTATTTGAATGGGGTGCCTATTTGAGGGGCGGAGGGAGGATAGGGGGGTTAATTTGAGCATTTAGGGTAATTAGTGCCTTGGGGTTGTGTATCTTAAGCAATGCATTGATGTCTTGATTATTGTTTTTATTGCCCAACTTTATCGTCTCAGGAATTCTGTTTTGCCGCAGTGAATTCTTGAGAATTCATCAATTCAGCAGGGGAATTTTGAGATTTAATTTTTGGTCCAGGGATTCTTTCAGTTGTTGTAGGGAGGACAATGGATTTTTGCTCTTATATTCCACTGACCTTTACTCTAGGGTACCCCCTCAGGCAATGAGATCATTATTTACCCCAGTAGCCTAGCTCTTTCTCTTGGGCAACACGGTCTGCCCGTATTTATGGCTAGTGACAGGCCAGGTAATCTAAGGTCTCTGATATACTTCCACTTCTTCCGCAATAGGCTCTTTGCATAACTTGATCACATGATCAACTTTCCATAAACATGAAAACAGTTCACTTTTGAAAAAGTTTGTTAGCACAAGCTGAAAGAGCATATTAAGGTATTAAGTAACCTATATAAGCATTTTCAGGCATATATCTCAAAAGTAGCGATTGCAACGGCCGCCGAGACTTAGAAGCATTTGTATGGGAAGAGCAACTTTCAAATTGCCTGTTGTGAATTAAAAGGAGATTTGAGCCCTGTAAGAGTGATTTTCTGTAAAATTTGAACTTCGGCCTGACATAATACCTCATCGATTTGGCTGATTATTGGCATGTAGTCTTAGAATGGTGTCCTAAATACTGAATACATATTCTAAGGTTTGAATTCTCTTTGGTTTCAAAGATACAGGCATGACAGTTTTGAGGAGGCCTCGAGAGGCCGCCATGTTGGTAAACTGAAGGAGGTTTACAATAATTAATTCTAGCTTTATCATTAAAATTTAACTTAATCGTGACTCATACAGTTGCAAAGAACTATCCTTCCTCCTTTCTTTTACCTACTCTTCGCTGAAAATGGTTAAGCCTGAGCTATGAACAGATAAAACTTCTCACAGCACTTTTTCGGTACTTAAAAGGTACACAAATTTGGTAGAAATTGCGAGGTCAAAATCACCCATGCCACATGGACTTAGACTAACCCATTTTAACTAAACATAGTTTGTTTATAGATAAGTTAGACTGTTGAATAAAATAATTGGGCAAACCTAATAGAACAGAACGATAATTGCATGAATGCGCAATGGTTCAGCCACTTGACCGCTAAAACTTCCAAACAATTAATTCGGTGAATATTTGAAAAGAAAATTCTTAAAAATTGATCGTGCCTCTTAGAACCTATCTATCGCTTAAAAAACCCTCACTTAATTGTAATGTAAAAAGATGATCTTTTGTTTCTGATGTTGCAAAGAGCTTGAAATATGTGCTAAAATGAAAAATTATAAATTTTGTTACTCACAGTTAACTAGCTCAAGTTCACTCATTGATTTGCCAGACCAAGCGGGAGCCGCTCATGTGCACAGTTACAATTTTCTCTGTAGTATTTCGCTGAATACAGCTGCAAATAACATATTTTCTTGGGCAAAGATAACGCAAACTTTGTCAATTTTTATCAAAAGTCTAGAAAAACAAACCATGCACTGTGGCTTTACACAAATTATGTGGCATTAATTCAATATTACATGTGCAAGCAGGAACCTACCTTTGCTTGTATGTACATTCGGCAGATCTTTCCAGCATAAGATATAAAACTAGTACATGAAATGAAATTAAAGAACTCATCAAGCCAAATTACTTGATTGTACCATCATTACTGAATAAAAGTCCAAAAAATATGACATGGAATGATCGGTGGGAGACAAAGCTATTTTTAGAAGGACACGGAACTGCACGCCAGAACGGAAGTGAAATGTACAACCTCAATCAAGTTCAGTCTTCTTGACGCTATTAAACGTTTCACCCAGACTTTGAACAGAAAGTTGTTTTTTATTTTCTTTCTCATTTTTGCATGTATTCAGCAGTTTGCCCAGTATTTTCTCATAACTTTTAATTTTCTAGCAATCTGGAACCTTTAAGAATTCCCGCCCCCCCACATTTTAGTGAACTATCATTCATTCTGATTCACAATAATTTTCAAATGGTGACAAAGTGAAATTTGAAATGACATTTTATGGTGATATTTTAAGCTTCTTTTTTTTCCCCGATAGCTAGAAATGTTTTGAATGTAAAGGCTATAAAGTATTGGTGTTTTTCACGACTCTGCTTGTAGACTGACCTCACCACCAGTATTACATCACGGACATAAATTCTGATTCAAAAGGGTCAAAAAGTAACTGATGGGTCTCTGAAAAGCGAAATGCAGTCACTTTGGGGCGAGCAGGCTATATAGATGATGATCTCATTGTTTATAACTCCATGACCACATCCCAAAAGTTTAGCCAGCCCGGGACGAGCGAACACAATTTTGGCGCCACTGGCGACACCAGTATGTTTGGCAGGAAATTGGCTGATTAGTCAAATCTCCTTAACTCCATGACCATGCACCTTTCCAAATATTGCCCTTCTAATCATTAGATAGTTAGGACCTCCTGTAAGCATTTGCAACTATTTTGATTTTTAGAAGACTGTTATAACAGTTTCCAATATTGCTTTAATGTCTCTGATCTCTCTAGAGAGAGAGGTAGAGAGTGTCAGCAAAACGTGAGAGCCATCCTTGAGGGCAAAGTGTCTAACCTAATTTTCTTACCGATTGCAAGTGCCACTTCATCCACACATAACCACACTTAGTTAACAGAATTAGCAAATGCAATGGGGAAATGTTACGGGAGAACTGAGTAAGAAGTTAGGGTAAGTTGAAAATTGTGCGCACAGCTGGAAACATGTAGAAAATCCTGGCTATGCTCCTGATAGAGACTTTTTCTGGAGAGAAGTTGAAAAGTGCTCGCTAATATAGTGACGACCAGAAAGGATAACTAGGATAGTTCCAGAAAACCACCCATTAAAATAGATGATGATTAAGTTATTGCGGCGGGTAATGAACTTGAAGGCTTCTGATCAAGTGCAATTTTTCAAGGGAGCCCAGTCAAGATTATGTACGGTGGGCACAGCTTGTTTGATCTGGAAAATACAATACATGCTAGAGCTGAAATAAAAGTCTTTTGGGCTTTTGAACTCTGTCCCTAATGGTAAAGGAGAATGTCTCCCTTTACTAATGCATTGACCAAATTGATTACATGTATGAATGTTTCCTTATGTTGGACCTCTTACTAACAAGCACATTACCACTAATTGTTCTTAAAGGCATTTTTGAGTTGACGAGCAGAGAAAATTAGGTTTTGACGGTTTGAAATTGAGGATGCCAGAGTGAAGACGCCTTTTGTACCTGTATGATGAGGTCATCATCCTACAGTAAAAAGCGTTCGTTTTTTTACCACTGATCATTACGTCAATCGGTACACGTATGTTGTCGAAAGGTCCGTGAACATGTTGAATGATTTTACATTAGACTCCAGACACATCTTCAATCACTCCGTGAAAGAACACCCTTATTGTTTGCGATATCGGATAAACACCCTGGTCACTAACTGAATTTTCTTTGCTGTTTCCTTTACTTAGAATTACGACTCGCTTGAGTTATCCACGCATGGACAAGCAATTTTAAGCTTTTTCAAGAAAACGAAAATCTGGAATTGCCCCTAGCTAGGGTGGGGCATTTGTGCACAGCTTTAAAACCTCTGGAAGAGGTGACTGGGGTTTTTGTATCTTGGCTATGCTCATCCATCATTCTTCTCAACCCCCTCCAAATCAATTTTCCTGTTTATCACAAAACACTTTACAGCAAGACCAAGAATCTCCTCAAAACGAGCTTCATGATTGGAACAAAATACCTGAAAATTTTGCACGGAATCATTGTTAATGGTGTACAAGAGAGATTGAGTCTATTTATTACTTTGCCAACGCCCAATTTGTGAGACAGGAAGTAATAATATTTATATCAAGGGCTCATGTCTCATGAGTTTTGAGCGAATCTTCAAACGCTGTAAATACATGTAGCTGGAACTATCATCACATCCTTGCTCACTAATAATGATAACTTATATCAATGCCATTATTTTTCCCCTGGCTAAGATTTTTACGGATTCTTCAGTTCAGTAGTTTGAAACCAGGCAGTTTCAGGTGAGTTGCAACGCTATGCAAGGAACGTGATGACCCGCAATATGCATGGGAAAATATTAAGTATCTTTTTTCGATCAAGATGGAAATTTCAATTTCAATTTTCATTATTATGGTTAATTTTAAAAGCTCTGGTTTCAATAAAGGAACTGGAGGAAAATCAGGAAAACTCCAGTTCAACTGTGATGGTTGCATTTTGTTTATGCGTCGTACTGTAGCATAAATATAACAGATTCATTTTCCTTTTCCTTATACAATATGCCTTTTTATACTGTTTTTCACAGCAGAGCTATGGCTAATATTACAGTTTTATTATACAGATCACTCAAATTTAGTGACAGAAACTCTAATATTGATTGTAATTTTGGCAACACCTGACGAGTATTTGGTGCAAAGCTTACTGAAAAAGTCGCTAGAACACTCTTCCATTCATTACTTTTGTTTCTGCTCTGTTAAATTGCCCAATTTTTTTGTTAACGAACTCAATTTAACTACAATCAATGAGTATTCGGGCAGCAGAGTGACAAGCTTCAATGCAATGTGGCAAGAGAGATATACGCCTTTGAATTTTTGTAAATTTTGAGGGTGTAAATAATTCAAAAAGTATACTAACCAAAACTTCAATCGATCATTGTGAAAACGTAATCAATTTCAAAGTAGTTTCTAAAAATACAATGAAGAGGGATAGTTCTCTCCATGTGTATCGGCAAAGGAAGATTAGCTTTGAAGACAGGGTTGTAGTTGAAGGTTCAAAAACAGCTTCTATTAACCAATATGGCGCCGGTCCGAGCACCCAAAAACCGGCCATGTCGATAATTTCTGAAATAGGAGGAATTAGAATCTTAAGTTACCTATTCCTTATTAAAGACCCCAAATCAAGCCTACATGCCAATTTATAGTGTGGCAGCGACTTTTCAATATGGTTCGAATCTTACAGACAACTGCTCTTAATGCTTTTGGAAATATTTCATGACAGTTTTGAAAATTTCGAAATTACAAGGATTTGTATGGAAAACCATGCAAGTGTGACTGGATGGAAAAAGTTGTTTTTCTCAAACAAATGCTTCCAACTTTCGGCAGCCGTTGCAATCGCTACTTTTGAGATATAGGGCTGAAAATTCTCAGGTTACCTAATTTTAATATGCTCTTTCAGCTTGTGCGGGCAAAATTTTTCAAAAGTGAACTGTTTTCATGTTTACCGAAAGCTGATCACGTGATCAAGTCATGCAAAGAGCCTATTGAAATTGAACGGTTATTCTATGTATTCCTCTTCCAGATAAGGTCAATCGAACGAATGCACCCTTAAGAATATTCGGCCGCTTCTTTTGCACTTTAAACCTCACCGAGGAATAACAAAGAGCATACTTGTCATTCAAAGAGATTCAAGTACGTGGCCGGGTATTCTAAAGTTAATAACAATGGAACGAGTTGTAACACGAACTGATACGAGTGAGCGCAGGGAGTGCACTGAGCTTCCTCTTACCTCAACAACTCGGTGGTATTAAATGCCATAATCACGCACTTTCTATGAAGTATTCTATACGTACTATACATCTCTTACCTAAGGCTGCTGATCTGAGGAAGAAAGCGTTTGATGAACTTCCTCTAAATATGGCGATCGTTCTTCAGCTTCTTCCACGGAATGCACTGATTACATTTCTTGGCTGACTTCCAGTTCATTCCTCGTTCCCAGGGTCTCTCTACTGAATGGCATGAGAATCGAGAAATGGAATCACGGAAACGAAATACAAGTACAATCCAAAGAGAATTTGCCTTAGTTTTCTTTGCAGTTGACTTAAATATATTCTTGTTAATGTGTCTTGAAAAGGTTTGCCATAGTGTGATTTATTGCGCTGCAAGGCCGATAAAGGTAATTTTACAAGTACTTCTTATTCACGAGTTTACAGGTTGAATAATACAGTTAAACATTAATTAACTGCTTAGCTAAATGTCAAGAGCAGTAGTAGTTGGCCTCAGACCACACTACCTGATTGTCCCCAAACTGAATACTCAACACATGACCGTGACGTGACGTGACGTGACCACACAGTTGCGGATCCAGAGAAGGGGCCCGCGCGGCCGACTCCCTTATTTCTAGACCAAACAGAAGACTGAAGGGCCGAAAAAAAAATTTTTTTTTCACCGGAATCGACTCCTGTAGTCTTACAGCAGTCTCCTCTGCCCAGGTATTAAATTTATTCATTTATCTTTATTGTCATTGCTAATATTTTTTTCCAAATCGATCGCTTGGAACTTTCTTTTACAGATTCCGTTTCCGTTTCTGTTGCTGATTACGTGATTCCGTTTCCGGATTCCGGATTCTATCTTTTACGCCCGGGGGGCGGGGGACACAATGGGTACTCTGACGGGTACGGGTAAATTAGCCGTTACCAGGGGCAACGGTTAGAAACGAGTTAGAATGGGTAGAATGGTTAAACCATTATTACATCCGAGAAATACTGATGGTTACCTTTTATAAAACTACGAGGTAAACATGTTTGTTTTAACCTACCAGTAGGCTAAACCGGCCCGGTGTATCGAGGTCACTACTCTCTTATTTCGCCTAGACGGGTATATGTACGGAAGCTTAAAGGGACATTT